CCCCCTTGCCCCTCTCTCTAAAATCAATAAAAATATATTTAAAAAAAATTTTAATGACAAGTTCTGTTACTTACATTTTACTGCAAAACAAAAACAACCCAGTGATCTCCCAATATATTTAGAATCAAATCCAAATTTTGTATCATGGCAAACAAGAGCTCTGTGACCTGTACCCTTCCCCCTACTCCAAGCTCATCTATAAATCTTCACTCAGTTCCTTAAGCCAGCCACCAATGTCTTTTTCTGTGCCTCACCCAAACTCATCCTTTCCTCAGACCATGGCACTTGCTGTTTCTCTGTTCGGAAACCCCTCTCGTCCCCTCTTACTCCACCCCCACCCTTCACTCCAGCCTCTGAAGCCCTGCCCTCTCCAACTGCCACATCTTGCCAGGCTGACCGTTTCCCCTTGACTTCTGCTCATTTGGAACTCAGTTCAAATGTCTCATTTTGCCCTGGCCAGTGTGGTTCAGTTAGTTGGATGTTGTCCTGTGCACTAAAGGGTTGCTGGTTTAATTCCTGATCCCCAGTGGGGTTCGTGCGGGAGGTGGGGGGCGTGCAGGAGGAAGCTAATCAGTGTGATTGCTCTCAGATTGATGTTTCTCTCCCTCTCTCTAAAAATATATATATAAAAATCTCTCGTCCTCACCAAGTCTGGCCTAGGTATCCATCTACAACAAGCACTTTCAGCACATCTGTTTTAGTCCCTTTGTAGTGCTTATTATTTGCAAAACAGTACCTTGTCTTACTTAAGCTTATTACTAGTCTCCCCACCCTACTCAAATGTAAGTTCCAAGAGGATTCTATGTCTGTTTTCCCTGCTATATCCTGGCACACAGAATAGTTCCCAGTACATGGTAAATGCTTGCTAGATATGTTACATAGATAAATGAGAAAGGGCAGACAGCACTCATCCTGTGCCTCATGCTGATCATGGTTGGTGGTATTGTGCTTGACACTGCCTGGTTCTGCTCCCCCCTCCCTAGTTGTACCTCCTCTCTCCAGCTCCACCTTCTCTTTGAAACACCCCTCCCCAGTACTGGTCACCTCTTGGCCTCCACACCTTCCCACTCTTGACTGCCCCTTGCCCAGCCGTCAGGTTCCCTTGCTCCAACTCTCCATGCTTGAAACCTCTGGGACTTACTTGTTTACAGTTCATGTTGGCAGCCACTGAGCCATGCAGCACTATGGCAGAAGCCTCTCATGAGTATGTTTCTTCTTTTTTTTTTTTTATCACCCTCACCCGAGGACATTTTTCCATTCTTTGTTCAGATAGAGTGGGAGGGAGAGAGAGGAACAGAGAGAGAGAAACATCGATGTGAAAGGGACACATCGGGTGGTCGCCACCCGCACAACCAACCAGGGCAGGGGACAAACTGCAACCGAGGTACGTGCCCTTAGCGGGAACCGAACCCGGGTCTCTCCGGACCGCAGGCTGATGCTCTAACCGCTGAGCCAAACCGGCCAGGGCATGAGTATGTTTCTTCTCAATTCCAAGGTCAGGAAGCAAGAAAAGATCTTGCTTTTTAGCTTGGTCCCAGCCCCTGATCATCTCTATCTAGGAGCAGATGTCCAACAGGTCTCTAGTATCCATTTTCCTCCCACAGGTCACACTCTACACTGTTTACAAAGACATCTTTTTTTTTTCTTTCTTTCTTTTTCTTTATTGATTTTAGAGAGGAAGGGAGAGGGAGAGAGATAGAAACATCAATGAGAGAGAACACTGATCGGCTGCCTCCTGCATGCCCCCCACTGGGGATTTTGCCCACAACCTGGGCATATGTCCTGACTGGGAATCGAACTGGTGACCTCTTGGTGCATGGGTCAACGTTCAACCACTGATACACCAACCAGGATCATTATCTAGTTCTTTATGTTTCAGTCAAATAGAAATACTACCATTTCTCATACATGCCTATCCTGGTTGAAATGTTTCTCATCCTTCAAGGCCAACTTGAACCACTTCCTCCAGGAAACCTTCCTTGTTTCAGAAGACCTGCCTGTGTCTCCTCTTCATCCTCTTCACATACTCTTTTGTATTGATTAGAATAATAACCATAACCGTGTTTATTAAATACTAATGTACAAGGTACTCTTCTATATTATCTCTCTCTCTTTTTTTTTTAATCCTCACCCGAGGACATTTTTTGTTCAGGTAGAGTGGGAGGGGGAGAGAGAGAGAGAGAGAGAGAGAGAGAGAGAGAGAAACATCGATGTGAAAGGGACACATCGAGTGGCTGCCACCCGCACAACCGACCAGGGCCGGGGACAAACTGCAACCAAGGTACATGCCCTTAGCGGGAACCGAACCCGGGTCTCTCGGGACCGCAGGCTGATGCTCTAACCGCTGAGCCAAACCAGCCAGGGCTATATTAGCTCTTTTAATTCTACAGCAATTTTTTATGAGGTAGGTGCTATTATTATCCGGGTTTTCTTTCTTTTTTTTTAGAACTGATTTTTTAGTTTCTTTTGTGTTTTTGTTGTTGTTGATCCTTACCCAAGAAAATGTTTTCCATTGATTTTTAGGGAAAGTGGAAGAGAGGGAGGGAGGAGGAAAAAGACAGAGAAACATCAATGTGAGAGAGACACATTGATTGGTTGCCTCTTGCACACATCCTGACAGGGGCCAGGGATAGAACCTGCAACCTAGGTACGTGCCCTTGACTGGGAATCAAACCCACAACTCTTTGGTGTGCAGGCTGACACTCTGCCCACTGAGCCACACCGACTAGGGCACTATCCAGGTTTTATAGATGAAGAAACTAAAGCACAGAGAGGGGACTTGGGGTAAGAAGTGACTTGCTCAAGATTGCGTAGCTTAAAAGCAAGTGAGTCAGGATCTGGACCCAGACAGTCTGACTCCAGATACTTACCTCTATTCCACTGTGTCCATTTTTTATCTTTTTTATGAAACAAGGCTCCCTTGCTGCTGCCTGAAAATCTCCCCACACACCAATTACTACTACCTAATGCTGTGGAAGGCATAACCCTCTCCTCTCCAAGATGTATTTCCAGGTATATCACCAACCAGGATGGGTTAGGTGGTACCTCTGGACATCCTTCATCACAGCCCCAATCACTCTTCTGAGTCAGCATGTCCCTGGAGCCCAGCACAAAAACCCACAGAGGCCTCAGATGTTGATTGTTGAATGACAGAATGGAGTCAGCCTTCCTCAGCCTGGAATTCCCTTATCATCTAGCTGTCTCTCCAGCAGAAGGCCATTGAATATTGACTGTACTTTTCTTAGTGAAAGTTCACTGGCTTTGGCTGGGCTCTTAGTTTTCCTGCTGAGACTCTCCCAGACAGACAGGGTTGGGCCCTGCATCTTGAGGAACCAGCCCTAGTCCCAAGGAGAGGCCTCTCTCTGGCTGGGAACTAAGGACCAAAAAAACTTTTTAAAAAATTTTTATTTATTGATTTGAGAGAGAGAAACAGTATCCATGTTTTCCTATCCATGTATTCATTGGTTGATTCTTGTATGTGGCCTGGCTGGGGATCAAACCCTAACCTTGGCATGTCCGGATGACACTCTACTTGAACCAACTGAGCTACCCATCCAGGGCCAAAAACCTTTCTTGTAGTTGTTGCTGTTTGCTGTCCTGCTGGCTTCCTGCCCAGATTTCAGCTCTCACCTCACTCTCACCTGAGCCCTGACCTGTGTTCTGTGTAGATCTTACTGCTCAGAGAAAGTGGTAGAAATATCTGAGCTTTGCTGCCTTAAGGCAGTGAAACGTTGAAAAAAATCACTTCATCTCTCTGAGCCTCAATTTACTCATCTGCAAAACATAGCTATTGATATCCATGCCCTGCCTCCTTAGCCTTTCTGAAGTGTAAAATGTCAATAATTCAGTTTCAACACATGTTTATTGCACATTTACTATGTCATACATACTATCTTGTTAAAATTTCAGTCTTTACAGTAACCCTTTCCTTTGAGGTAGATATTAGTAATCCTCATTTTTTTTTTTTTTTTTAATTTATTTTTTTTTTTTTTTATCCTCACCCGAGGACATTTTTTGTTCAGATAGAGTGGGAGGGAGAGAGAGGAAGAGAGAGAGAGAGAAACATCGACATGAAGGGACACATCGAGTGGCTGCCACCCGCACGACCAACCAGGGCCAGGGACAAACTGCAACCGAGGTACGTGCCCTTAGCGGGAACCGAACCCGGGTCTCTCTGTACCACAGGCCGACGCTTTAACCGCTGAGCCAAACCGGCCAGGGCTTTTTTTTTTTTTTTAATCCTCACCCGAGGGCATTTTTCCATTGTTTGTTCAGATAGAGTGGGAGGGAGAGAGAGAGAGACATCGACATGAAAGGGACACATCAAGTGGTTGCCACCCGCACGACCCAACCAGGGCCAGGGACAAACTGCAACCGAGGCATGTGCCCTTAGCGGGAACCGAACCCGGGTCTCTTGGGACCGCAGGCCGACACTCTAACCGCTGAGCCAAACTGGCCAGGGCAGTAATCCTCATTTTACAGAGGAGGGAGTGAGTCTGGGGAGAGCTGGTGACTTACCAGCTGTGCCTCTGCGGAGACTAGCTCTGTGCTGGGCTTCTGTGCTCTTTCCACCCACTCCACTTCCTGAGCTCCCGGCTGGTGTCAGTGAGCCCGGGCTTGACTGTGCCCTCCATCTGGGCCCCTTCCCCAGGCCTGAGTCCTCCTCAACATTTACTTGTTATGAAGATAAGCAGCAAGGGGTGTTTTCTGAGACAGTGGAAAGATCTTGGTTGCACCTGCTACTGAAATAACACTGAGAAAAGTCTAGTGTCTCACTCTCTTCATTTTTTAGAAAAACTGGGGAGACGGATGTCAAGTTTAATCTAGCTGAATCTTTACAGGCACTTTCCTTTTTACATGTTTGAAAACTTGAGGGGTCCTTGAGGGAAGCCCAAAGGAAAAATTTAGGTTCCCAAGTCCCTGACTTAGAGCCTCCCTCAGGGCCCAGCCAGTCCTTATGGCAGAGGTCAGGCTCAACCCCGCATGTGGGAGCCACTCACCCGCACTCCTCAAAGATGTCTGGGTAGTGGCGGAACAGCACGGGCGGGTCCCGGTCACCCCGAACGGGGGCCCGTGGCACAGCCCGGATCCCAGGCCTCCGGCCTCGTCGGCCCCCAGAGCAGGAGCGGTGGATCCACTGGTGAGCTTCCACCGCAAACTTCCTCTTGAAGCGCATGCCACACTCGGGGCAGGGGAAGGGCCGCTCACCCGAGTGCATGCGCCGGTGGCTGACCAGCAGAGAAGGATAGGTGAAGCGGCGACCACAGTCTGCACACACGTGGCGCCGCTGGCTGGCCTGACAGCCCACGCTGGGCACCTGGACTGGGGGCTGCAAGCTTGTGCTCTGGTCCCAGGCAGCTTTCGTGGGTGTCTGTGCTCTTGCCAACGCCTTGCTGATGGCCAAGTCAGGGTTGTATTTAACCATCTCTTTAGGCCTATCGTTCCCAGGAGTCTTTCTGGGTCCCTTGGCTCCTGGTACTGCTTCGGGTTCCTCTTTCTTCTTGTTTGGGGCATCTCCTGGGAAACAGGAATTAAGATACATTTTTAAACACATTTGCTTAGACTGTCTCAGGTTCTAGGGTGCTTTTACTTTAAAAAGTGCCAGAAAAATAATGCACAGTGATTAACACACAGGCTCTGAAGGACAGTAAAATTCAAATCTCTTAAGAATGACTTATCTGGGCCTTGTTCCCTCATGTGTCAAATGGGAATCAATTTCTTTACAGGGTTGTTGGAAGGATTAAATCAGTAGAAGCATGTTAAGCCCGTAGTAAATGTTCAATAAGCAGTAGATATTACTGTGTTTTCTCGATTTTCTGTAGGGTAAGACTTTTACAGAGGAGGGAACCTATTTGCTGGAGATCACTCTGCTAAGGAATGATGAGGGGAGAAGAACCAAGTTGATTACTGGGCATTTTCTCATTTACTGCTTTGCTTTGCTTGAGGAATGTCACCAGTGGATCTAAAGTCATTTCCATTCTTACAGGATTTTAGTTGTTCCTGAAAAAGGGAGAATGAGTGGTGTTTTCTACCACAGGGACCTGGAAACAGTGTTGGACATGGGCCCCTGATTTTCCTACTCTGGTTTCAACATGATAACTGTTTCAAGTTCTGAAAACTTTGTACCAGGTCTGCCTCCTTTCCGCTATTATCCAACACTGGCTGTCTCTTTCATTCCTTTAGGAATGCTGGGGGTGGGGATCTGAAAAACAAAAACACATTGCAGTACAGGAAGCCCTGGAGTGTCAGGTGGGGGGAGACTTTGGGACAATCCCTCACCTCTCAGAGCTCCTCCCTCGCTTTCCCCCTCCTCAGGATCCTGGTCCGCGGCGCTCCAAGCCTCACTCTCCTGTTCCATCCAAGAGATGAGGTCTGGTTTGGGGCCTGGGAATCCTGGGAGAGAACAGGGATCACAGTGCTAACCTGAGAGGCCGCCCTGGGAAGATAGCATCCCCCTGCCAGAGTGAGGGCACTTCCTCAGAACTCATGTTCAACATGGATAGAGTCTCAATGCTCCCCACCTGAAGGAAGCAAATTCAGGATGGAAGAGTGCCCAAGGGGGTACCTGAAGCCCTGGGAATAGGCGGTGGCTGGTGCTGTTGGTGGAATAGTTCGGGGTTAGGGCTCACAATCCTCCAAGTCCCACTATATCATCTCTGTGAACCCCAGTGAAGGAGGGGGGCCCTGACCCGGGCCTCACCGAGTGCGCCCAGGTGGCCGTAGGTCTCCCGCATCACGTCCCGGTACAGGGCCCTCTGCGCGGGCTGCAGACACCCCCACTCCTCCGGGGAGAAGTACACGGCCACGTCCGCGAAGCTCACGGACTCGGGTTTCCTGCAACCAGGCCGGGTCTCCCCAGCTGTCAGCGCCGGGAGTGGGGCTGGGGGCGGTGCCATGGGGCCTGCCAGCCCCAGCTGCAGCTGCCTAATCCCGGGGGCCACCGCCTCCCCGCTCCCGACGCAGCTGTCCTCGTCCGCAGGACCGGCTCCCCAGGCCGCGGCCCCTCCCAGCCTGGGCGTCCGAACGCAGCGGAGGGAACCGAAGTAGCAGGGACTAGCTGCTAGGGATTCGGGATTCTGATAGGGACAAATCAGCCCCCTCGGTGTTTATTCACTTCTTGGCAGCTTGGCCATAGACACCCGGGTTGAGGGACCCGGAAGGTGCCTTCAGGAAATATGGCGACATCCTGGCTTCGACTGTCACCAACTGCTCTTAAGGGCGCCGTCCCTTGGTCATATCAAACATGGCGCCGTCTGGCTTCTCTGGTCTCATCTTCCACTTGCCCTGAAATAAAGTGGCCGCTGCAGGTGGGTTTTTAGGGGGAAGACAGAACAGAGGGCAGTTCGTGGGGAGCCTTCTTGCCTTCAAGAAAGATGGACGGGCCAGCTTCCAGCAACCCCCTCTGCCAGCGCGGCACAGCGACCGATGATTGGCCCGGAGCGCAGGAAGCGGCTGAGCGAGGCCCGGGACTGGAGGGGCGTAGGAAAAGGCACCCACGCCCCCAAGTCTCGGTTGGCTGGCTCTGGAACCTATCGAGGACCTTAGAATTTGTGGAGTCCCAGGCTGTGTTCCTGATGGCCTTCCCTCCGTGCCTCCGGACCGCGGAGTCTAGTCCCCAGCCCCATCAGGAATACGCTCACACTGGCCAAACCCTGGGGACGGCCGAGGTAGAGAAAGCATGTTCCTGTTTGCAGTCGCGACCACAGCCGCGGGGCCCACGGCTCCTTGCCCCGGTGGCTCGGCTCACAGCCTCCGGATCGGCGCAGCGCGAAGGAATGTGCTTGATGAGGTTCAAATTGGAACGGGGAAATTTTAAGTTTCATTTTATTTTTTCCCAAAGTAATTAATGTATATGGTTTTAAAATAGTGATACGTTTTTGTAATGAAAACAAAAAACAGTCCCCTGTACCCATTTCCGCTGTTCTCGAGTGGCAACTACTTTTTAACCCTTTTTTAAAATTTGAATATTTTATTAATTTGTATATACAGTAAAATGCACAGATCTTCAGTAAAATTCGCCAAGTTTTGACATATGTATACAACCATTAACTGTTACCCCAAACAAGATATAGGACATTGATGTCACCCCTGAAGGTTTCCTTGTGCACACTTTCCAGTCAATACACAGTTTTAAAAATATATATTTTTTCCCTTTATTGATTTTAGAGAAAGGGAGAGAGAGATAGAAACATTGATGAGAGAGAACATCAATTGGCTGCTTCCTGCATGCCCCACACTGGGGATCGGGCCCACAACCTAGGCATCCAGCCCACAACATGGGCATGTGCCCTGACCAGGAATCGAACCAGCGACCTCTTGGTGCATGAGTCCACGCTCAATCACTGAGCCACACTGGCCAGACAATACAGAGTTTTTTATTGTGGTAAATACACATCACATAAATCATTACACATCTGCCATTTTATTTTTTAAACCTTTTAAAAAATATTTTTACTGATTTTTTTAGAGAGAGAGGAAGGGAGAGAGAGAGAGAAATATCGATATGAGAGAGATACATGGATCTGCTGCCTCCTGCATGACCCCACTAGGGATTATCCTGAAACCCGGGCATGTGCCCTGACCAGGAATTGTACTGGGACCTCTCAGTCCATGGGAGGACACTCAATCCACTGAGGCACACAAGCCGTTCAATTCAGTGGCATTTAGTACATTTACAGTGTACAATGGTCATTACTTTCATCACCCCTAAAGGAAACTACCTACCCATTGAACAGCCACTCCCATTCTCCTTTTCCTTCAGCTTATGGCAATCACAAATTTGCTTTCTGTCTCTATTTGCTTTTTCTGGATATTTTATATAAATGGAGCCATGCACTATGTGGCCTTACCTGTCTGACTTCTGTCTTTAGCATAGTGTTCTCAAGGTTTATCCATGTAGCATGTGTCAGTACTTCATTCCTTTTTATGACTGAATAATATTCTATTGTATGGATGCATCATATTTTGTTTATCCATCAGTTGATGGAGATGGACATTTGGGTTGTTTCCACCTTTTGTCTAGTACTGCTTTGAACAATTGTGTACATCCCCTAAGTGCCCCAACAGGAATTGAACCGGCAAACTTTTTGGTGTACAGGATGACACTTCAACCAACTGAGCCACCTGGCCAGGGCCCATTTCTTTTTTTTTTTTTTTAACTGTTTTTCTTTCAGGTCCCATTTTAACCATTTTTATGTTTACAATTCAGTGACATTAATTACATTCACAATGTTGTACAACTATCACCATTATTGACTTTCAAAATGTTTTCAGCACTGAAAAAGGAAACCCGGAACCTATTAAGCAGTCACTTTCCGTTCCCCTCTCCCCAAGTCCCTGGTAAATTCTCATTTTTCTTTCTCTATGAAGCTGCCTTTTCTGGTATGTCATATAAGTGGAATCATACAATATTTGTCCTTTTGTGTCTGGCTTCTTTCATTTAACATAGTGTTTTCAAGGTTCATCCATGTTGTAATGTGAATCAGCAATTTCATTGCTTTTTAAAAATTGTGGTAATACATAACATAAAAGTACTATTTTAATTATTTTTTTTCTTTATTGATTTTAGAGAGGAAGGAAGAGGGAGAGAGAGATAGAAACATTGATAAGAGAGAACACTGATTGGCCGTCTCCTATATGTCCCCCACTGGGGATTGGGCCCACAACCTGGGCATCGAACCAGCGACCTCTTTGTGCATGGGTCAATGCTCAACCACTGAGCCACACCAGCTGGGCCCATTTTAATTATTTTTAAGTGTACAGTTCAATGGTATTAAGTACGCTCACATTGTTGTGCAACCATCACCACCATCCATTTCCAGAACTTTTTCATCTCTCTAAAAAAAAAAAAAAATCAGCCCTGGCCGGTTTGGCTCAGCGGTTAGAGCATCAGCCTGCGGTCCCGAGAGACCCGGGTTCAGTTCCCGCTAAGGGCACGTACCTCGGTTGCAGTTTGTCCCTGGCCCTGGTTGGTCGTGCGGGTGGCAGCCACTCGATGTGTCCCTTCACGTCGATGTTTCTCTCTCTCTCTTCCTCTCTCTCCCTCCCACTCTATCTGAACAAAATATGTCCTCGGGTGAGGATAAAAAAAAAAAAAAAAAAAATCAATAAAAACATATAAAAAAAAAAAAAGACACTGCTATTTCTTGATATCCTCATTTTAGACATATAATCTATGGGCATCCTGCTATGATACTTGCTTAGTTTCTGGCCCCATTCCTCTCACCTCTTTTCCCAACATACTTAATGCAATAAATTATTATAAATAATATTTCCTACACATTCCATGATTATATTTCCTTACTTGTCAACTGTTTTTTAAAAATTTAGATATATTTGATGTATAACATTGTGTAAATTTAAGGTGTACATGTTGATTTGTATATATTTTGCTATAATTGCCATTATCACTTTGCTTTTCTTGAACTAATTGTCTTTCTTTTCTCCTTGCATTATCTGCCCTTTCTGCTTCTTGTACTTGTTCCAAATTACTAGGGATAGCATCAGATCTCAAATACCCATTTTTTTTCCTGGGAAACCTTCCTCCTAGAGCCCTCGGTCCTTTCTCTCCAAATTGGGATCATTCTGAGTTGTCATCCAGGATCTTGCCTTCCTGCTCACCTAGGTTGTATCCTTTGTTTCCTGGACTCAACATCTTCCTATATTTTATTTTTTAATCTTCACATGAGGATATTTTTCCATTGGTTTTTAGGTAGAGTGGGAGGGAGGGAAGGAGAGAGAAAGAGAGGAAAGAGAGAGAGAAAGAGAGGAGAGAGAGAAAGAGAGAGAGAGAGTGAGAGAGAGAGAGAGAAACATTGATGTGAGAGAGACATTATTGCCTCCCCAACAACCCCAACCAGGCCAGGAATTGAACCTGCAATCAATGTACATACCCCTTTTATATTCAGCTAGTTTTGCTATGTTATCGTGTTGAAAATTTTAAAGATTTTGTATCAAGGCAAAATCTTTTCATTTTATAGGAAACTGAAGGAGTGGACCAGAGTAGGCGAGAGTTGGACATAAATGGTTTTGGAGGATGTTGACAGATTAGATAGGGATGATGCTGAGTGAATTCAACTTCTGATGGAACACATAGAGCCAGACTATCAAACTATGCTGCTTCATTTTGAGGTTGAGTCCAAAAGGGAAAGCATATTTTTGTATCTTGGAAAACGTTCATGTGAAATTGAGATTTCATATTATTGGACAATTGTCTATTTATTCCTCCATCCTTGTTTTTTTTATTTTAAAATGTTCAGAGGAGCTTGCAGTCTTGAACCTGTTTATGATCCTCTTGCAAAATGGACATTAAATGATCTCCCAAGGTGCTATTGAAGGCCATCATCAAAAAGTCTACACTTGCATTGTTCTCTGGCTTCCATAGGACATTTATTATGGCATCATGGCTGCAGGTCAAACAAGTTTTCTATTTTTTTTTTTTTTATCCTCACCCGAGGACATTTCTCCATTTTTTGTTCAGATAGAGTGGGAGGGAGAGAGAAACATCGATGTGAAAGGGACACATCGAGTGGCTGCCACCCGCACAACCAAACCGCAACTGAGGCACATGCCCTTAGCGGGAACCGAACCCTCTGGACTGCAGGCAGACCCCCTAACCGCTGAGCCAAACCGGTCAGAGGTAAAATGTTCAAAGGATATTAAGGCAAGACTACATTTAAAATGGAGTTTAGAATATTAAATCTTTACTTTTGGTGATTATTTTATTTGATCAAAATTTCAGTTTATTGAGGCATGTATGAGTTTTTGTGTCTTTTCCTATTCAGGTTTCAAAAAAGTATTTTCACTGAAAATAGTTTCCTTTAGAGAGATTATAAACCGAGGTTTACTAGCAGTGGAAAAGAACATTTTGAGGTATGTGATTGATCTGCTGACAATGAAATTATATTGGAGCTGATTGGGTAAAATTATTTTTTCAATCAAAAAACAAAAAAAATTATGCCCCTACTCTGTCTCAGGTATTGAGGATGGTGATGGCCCAGCCTTCGTGGAGCTTGCAGTCTTGAACCTGTTTATGATCCTCTTGCAAAATGGACATTAAATGATCTCCCAAGGTGCTATTGAAGGCCATCATCAAAAAGTCTACACTTGCATTGTTCTCTGGCTTCCATAGAACATTTATCATGGCATTATGGCTGCAGGTCAAACAAGTTTTCTATTTTTTTTTAATCCTCACCTGAGGACATTTTTTTATTTTTTTCGTTCAGATAGAGTGGGAGGGAAAGATAGAGTGGGAGGGAAAGAGAAAGAGAGAAACATCAACGTGAAAGGGACACATCGAGTGGCTGCCTCCCACAGGACCCAACCAGGGTTGGGGACAAACTGCAATTGAGGCACATGCCCTTAGCGGGAAACGAACCCGGGTCTCTCTGGACCGCCGGCCGACGCT